AAGTCAACTCTGCTGCTGTACGGTCCAAAGGCGGAATGTTCGGTACTAGCAGGGATATTTACATATATATATATATATATATATATATATATATACATATATATATATATAATTAACTTCACATCTTTGGGTCAAAGAAATCATCTTTAAATCCATTACAAACGATTTCATGTCAATATATAACCATGGAATTGGGTCAAGGAAATCATATGAAAATTGGTTCCAAACTTTTTTTATATAAATACATAGTATGGAATTTGGGAAGGAAATGTTTTAATATAATATTTATATGCTATTTTTTCTATTTGCGGTAAGTTTTTGGGTTGTGGATGGTGGGAGGGTGGTGGGGCGGAAGGCATGAAACAAGACTCGCTTTTAGGGGATCGGGATATTTAACTCACGTCGATGGGGGGCGTGTCCTTTCCACCATCAACGTTGGGGATAACGATATTCTCTCTCCAATACGAAACGGTAGCCAAAGATCTTGTTGCTGAGATCTGTATTTTCTGGTTAAAGAATACAGGTATTTCCATCATTATTAGTTTCAGTGGAGTTGATATATTCTAAAACAGTGTTTATTTTCTCTTCTAGAGTGACTGAGTCGGGATCAAAGTTTGTTACTTAATCACATGTGACTCTAATACTCACACTTAAAATCTCACTTTAAACCGGTATGCAAGAATCAGGTGATTTCAAGACAAACATTTCTAAAATAGTAAAGGAACAGATTTCATGAAACCTATATATCATAATACAGTTCTGAAAAACGAATATTGTATTTTCCTAATGATAGCCCAATTATAACTCTTAAAACTACAGTATAGAATACAGTAACGTTTTTACTGGTCGGTAAAATTGGCAGCGAAAAAAATGATATATATATATCAAAGTCTATAAAACTTAATTCTAATCAAAAATATTATCCAGTCATTAAATTAGATATCATTAGGCAAATATACAATGTGAATTATTTTCTGGAAACACTTTCTACTCTCTTTGTAACAATATTTGCTGAGATGTTAAGAAAGATGTTTTTAAAATCCTCTATTACTTAAAATATTATTCAAAATTAAAAGTATGTAACATCCTTTCGTACCAAACTAAAAGTACATTCGTTCATATTAAATTAAAAGTATATAATAGTCGTTCGTATTAAATTGAAAGTATATAATATTCGTTCGTATTAAATTAAAAATAAGAAATATACGTTCGTATTAAATTAAAAGTATGTAATATACTTTCGTATTAAATTAAAAATATGTAATATACTTTCGTATTAAACTAAAAGTATATAATATACGTACGTATTAAATTTAAAATATGAAATATACGTTTCTATTAAATTAAAAGTATGTAATATATGTTCGTATTAAACTAAAAGTACATAATATACGTTCGTATTAAATTAAAAGTATATAATATTCGTTCGTATTAAATTTAAAATATGAAATATACATTCGTATTAAATTAAAATGCAATATTTTTTTCATGTTATATCTGTCATATTTTTACACTTCCAGGAAGCTATTTTTATGCAAAGTAAAAGTTGAATTGAAAACAAAACCTGTGGAATGATTTTGAATTAATTGTAAATTTATTTTTTATCGTTCACTTAATTGAATATCAAACTGAAATTTTGCTTTTGCTATTTTTTTATATTACAATATCAATTTGAGACACTGATGTAAAAAGGACCTACCTTTAAGACCTTCGATACGACCCGACATGAGTTGGTAGAATATGTGATAGGACCTCTCCAAGGGCTGCTGGGAAATCACTCTGGCTTTCTCCAACAAATCTGAAAGTTGTGAAACAAAAGAACTTGTATGTGCAGGTACGATATCAACAGTACAACTACTGTTTCACTCAGACAGATTCCATACCAACAACTTGCTTTATTTTTATGTTATAAAACTGATAGAAGAACTCACAAGTCTCGATGTCTGCTCCAGCCAACTTTCCCATAGGACCGAAGTGGATTCTGATAAATTTACCCTGCAAATAAAAAAATAACGAAAAATATAGAGTAATTACTAAAAACAAAGAATGAAGATAACATTTAACTATAGGATATAGAGTAACGTTATCGATAAGAACAAGTTTCTAAGTCTAGGAGCTGACTGAAATCAATTACTTACAAAACGGGATGAGTTATCGTTTCTGACAGTCTTGGCATTGCCAAAGGCTTCGAGTACCGGGTTAGTTTGAACGACCTGGTCTTCTAAATTACCCTTAACAGAAAAAGAGAAACAAAAATGTTCAAGCAAACATTACAGAGAAAGACGGAGTGAGACCTTATGACAGAATACTTAATCCTTTAAAAATAGTCTAAATAATATTGTTATTTATTAATCCAAAATTGTCTAGTTATCTGTATTTATAAAAAAAGCCCACACACACATATATATATACACTGTTGTTCATATGTATTTTGATCTTGCAGTTAAGTAGTTTTCTAAAAAAAATTCTCATTTACATATTTTAAAGCTTTATATATATATGTCTTCATCAAAATTTATTTTTTAATGTAAAATTAAAGTTTTTGTATAAGTACTTTTATAAAAGCGACCTCTTTGTCCTTAATGGTGAAAGAAAAAGCACAACGAGTGAGTTTTCATACTAGTTAGATCGAAAAATGTTCAGAACTAAAGTATTAGAGTACAATTCTCAACTGTCATCAAGAGAGCGTAAGTAATGTTAGTGGTTTCTTTTAAAATAATCTAAGTTAGAGTTGAGTCATCAATAACTCTGACGTCAAGCTTGTGGTGACAGAATAATCAAAGTCAGAGTTGTGTCATCAATAAATCTGACGTCAAGCTTGTGGTGTCTTTAAGAATAATCAAAGTCAGAGTTGAGTCATCAATAATTCTGACGTCAAGCTTGTGGTGCTTTAAGAATAATCAAAGTCAGAGTTGAGTCATCAATAAATTTGACGTCAAGCTTGTGGTGACAGAATCATCTAAGCCAGAGTTGAGTCATCAATAATTTGACATAGGCCAGGAGTCACTTATAAAACGATTTAGGGATCAAAATATTTACAATAAGTTTATCGTTTTCAGTGGTTAAAATAAAATAAAAAACAATACTTTCATTTGTTTAGGAATTTATTTCTCATTCTAGGTCAAACAAAAGTGAATTCAAGACTTATAATCCAAACATCGCTATCTGAATGTGTTGCTGAAAGTTTTCTTGTAAGAAGAAGAGAATATCAAATTTTCCTGCTAACAATTAAAGACCCGAATACCTTTTTTGAGGTTCCTTTCTTTTGTTCATCCTTTTTAGAGGAGGCACCAACATTTGCAAAATAAGCAATTACTTTCTTCGTGTTCTCAGTTTTCCCAGCGCCAGACTCACCACTGCATTAAGAGAAAAGAGAACCTCATCAAACATCTTAATAGAAAAATTACTTGTCTTAATAGAGAGGATTGACAAAGGAAAAATTGTGGTTGATAACTTTAGGGTTTCTAATAAACAACGACAAGAGGAATGGATTAGGAAGACTTATGTCACGGATTCTAGGGGAGAGAGAGAAGATTAGACTAGGAAGACATGTGTCACAGATTCTTGAAGGAAGAGGATTAGATTAGGAAGACCTGTGTCACGGATTCTAGAAGAGAGAAGGTTAGATTAGGAAGACATGTGTCACAGATTCTTGAAGGAAGAAGATTAGATTAGGAAGACATGTGTCACTGATTCTTGAAGGAAGAAGATTAGATTAGGAAGACATGTGTCACAGATTCTTGAAGGAAGAAGATTAGATTAGGAAGACCTGTGTCACGGATTCTAGAAGAGAGAAGGTTAGATTAGGAAGACCGGTGTCACAGATTCTTGGAGAGAGAAGACCTGTGTTACGGATTCTAGGAGAGGATAATTAAAGAGAGCCATTTAGAGCGATTGTGTTTATTGTCTAGTGTGACATAAAGAGAGAGGCGTATTTTGCAAAAGGTGAAAAAAAACATAACAAGTGTTTATTTGTTCTCTCGGTGTTATACTAGAATGTCCGAGGGTGAGTTTTGTTTTACATTATTGGTACGTCTCTATTCTAGATAAATAGGAAAAAACTTAAAATTTAACAGAAAGTAGGGATCGTTGGTTATTCGTAGAATTATTATAAAAAGAATATAAAACAAAATAAGTGCTACAATAAAAAGTAAACAAACAAGTAAAGTGATACTAGTTAGATAGATTTTAAAACAAGTTTCAATACCTACTTTGGTTGGCATTGTGATCGTATATCTAAATGAAGCAGTCTAAATTTTTTTTTTCCTATTTATTTGTTCAGTTTTTATATGTTCATGTAATGGACACAACATCTATAAAGGTTCATTATAGCCATATCCCTGATAGTTATAACTATTTCAAGAATGGAAACTACAATCATAAGTTTATAAAATTTAATCCTTACTTTGGTCTAAGATAAGTGTATAAAGCTGCCAAAGTAGGGATTAAATTTTATAAATTGGTGACTGTGGTTTTAATTCTTGTTTCAATACATTTTGTAGCCGAAGCCCTACTTCATTTTAAAATTCATAATTTGTTAACATTCTGGTTTGTTCAGTTTTTATGTTATACCTATATAAAGTATATACTTTACCTTTAGAAACTGTCGCGTGTCTATATATCAATATGTAACGCCATCCATTGGGTTGAAAATATGTTAAAGTACGTGCATGATATGTTTACCATTTATATTATACCTGCATATATATATGGAATTTGTCAGAATATCAAAAGCGGATACCCACAGACCAGTCAAGTAAGCTGGAGAAATCTTCTAGTGATAGTCCGAGCCGTTTAGGGGCTAGCCTCTATATTAGCTTTATTAACTATATTAGCTTTATTTACATTAGCTTGATCTTGACTTGTAAAGGAATGAAGTGTAAGTGTAACATCCTAACTTATGATGGTTGTGATAAGGTTGAAGCTGCTGATCTACGATAACTTCCTAACTTTGATGGTTGTGATAAGGTTGAAGCTCTTGATCTACGATAACGTCCTAGCTTTTGATGGTTGTGATAAGACTGAAGCTCTTGATATACGATAACGTCCTAACTTTTGATGGTTGTGATATGGCTGAAACTTCTGATCTACGATAGCGTCCTAACTTTTGATGGTTGTGATAAGACTGAAGCTCTTGATATACGATAACGTCCTAACTTTTGATGGTTGTGATATGGTTGAAGCTCTTGATCTACGATAGCGTCCTAACTTTTGATGGTTGTGATAAGGTTGGATCTCTTGATCTACGATAACTTTCTAAATTTGATGGTTGTCATAAGGCTTCACGATATTGTTTAAAATCATCACTCTCCTTGAGAAGAGCTGTCTGAAGTACAGAATAGCATTCTTGGTGTTCTTTGTTTTTCATCACATTCGCCCGTTGAAGGTGGATACAACGAGGAAGAAACATTTCATGTATTAAAGGACAATGGAAAGGATATTCATGTTGTGGACTAAAGGAGAATGGAAAGGTCAAAGGAAAGGATATTCATGTTGTGGACTAAAGGAGAATGGAAAGGCCAAAGGAAAGGATATTCATGTTGTGGACTAAAGGAGAATGGAAAGGTCAAAGGAAAGGATATTCATGTTGTGGACTAAAGGAGAATGGAAAGGTCAAAGGAAAGGATATTCATGTTGTGGACTAAAGGACAACAGAAAAGATATATATGTCACGTAAAGATATATATGTCACGCAATGCTTAAATATAATTATTCTGCAAAATAAGATGATTTTCACATATTAAGAGTTGATTAATTATTTTTTAAGTAAATACCATATTTTAGTATGTGAAATAACTGAATTGTGATGTTTGTATTACTTTATTTTAGGTTACTTGGGTTAGCAATTGATAATTCATTGTTAATGGCATATACTACATATGTAAATTGATTAAAATATAATATTCTTATTAATTTATTTGTTTTCTGCGATTGTTTTTAGTATATTTATATTGTATTAGTTTAATAACCTGATATCGTTTCAGGTTATTTATTAATTATATTGTTAAGAGTTTCGAAGGAATAAAATTCACAGTTGATATTGCAAATATTGTGAAGGATGGGGTTTCATTGAATAATTAAATACTCACGTGATCAACATGGACTGGTTTTCTCTGTCTATCAAGTAAAAATAAAAAAATATTAGAGTGTTAAACGACAGACAAGTTTCAAATACATTATGCGTCTGAATTAGATATAAAAATCACGTGACCACGAGTTAATAATAAACACATAACTCAACACATTAGATATTTCAATAGCAAATGGTTGATCGCACTAGATATTTGTAATATAAACGGTAGATCACACTAGATATTTGTAATGTAAACGGTAGATCACACTATATATTTACACAATAAATGGTAGATCACACTACATATTTACAAGTAGATGGTAGATCACACTAGATATTTATATTTTAAATGGTATATCACACTAGATATTTGTATAGTAAATGGTAGATCACGCTAGATATTTGTAATGGATAAATGGTAGATCACACTAGATATTTATATTTTAAATGGTATATCACACTAGATGTTTCTATTTGAAATGGTATATCACACTAGATATTTACACAGTAAATGGTAGATTACACTAGATATTTACACAGTAAATGGTAGATCACACTAGATATTTCTATATTGAAAGGTAGATCACACTAGATATTTACACAGTAAATGGTAGATCACACTAGATATTTCTATATTGAAAGGTAGATCACACTAGATATTTCTATAGTAAATTGTAGATCACACTAGATATTTACACAGTAAATGGTAGATCACACTAGATATTTCTATTTGAAATGGTATATCACACTAGATGTTTCTATTTGAAATGGTATATCGCACTAGATATTTGTATAGTAAATGGTAGATCACACTAGATATTTCTATATTGAAAGGTAGATCACACTAGATATTTCTATAGGAAATGGTAGATCACGCTAGATATTTGTAATGGATGAATGATAGATCACACTAGATATTTCTATTTGAAATGGTATATCACACTAGATATTTTTATAATAAATTGTAGATCACACTAGATATTTACACAGTAAATGGTAGATCACGCTAAATATTTACATAGTAAATAGTATATCACACTATCTATTTACACAGCAAATGGTAGATCACACTAGATTATTCTATTTTAAATGGTATATCACACTAGATATTTCTATAGTAAATGGTAGATCACACTAGATATTTCTATTTTAAATGGTAGATCACGCTAGATATTTGTAATGGATAAATGGTAGATCACACTAGATATTTCTATTTGAAATGGTATATCACACTAGATATTTCTATAGTAAATGGTAGATCACACTAGATATTTCTATATTGAAAGGTAGATCACACTAGATATTTGTAATGGATAAATGGTAGATCACACTAGATATTTCTATTTGAAATGGTATATCACACTAGATGTTTCTATTTGAAATGGTATATCACACTAGATATGTGTATAGTAAATGGTAGATCACACTAGATATTTCTATATTGAAAGGTAGATCACACTAGATATTTGTAATGGATAAATGGTAGATCACACTAGATATTTCTATTTGAAATGGTATATCACACTAGATGTTTCTATTTGAAATGGTATATCACACTAGATATTTGTATAGTAAATGGTAGATCACACTAGATATTTCTATATTGAAAGGTAGATCACACTAGATATTTCTATAGTAAATTGTAGATCACACTAGATATTTACACAGTAAATGGTAGATCACACTAGATATTTACACAGTAAATGGTAGATCACACTAGATATTTTTATAGTAAATTGTAGATCACACTAGATATTTACACAGCAAATGGTAGATCACACTAGATTATTCTATTTTAAATGGTATATCACACTAGATATTTCTATAGTAAATGGTAGATCACACTAGATATTTCTGTGGTAAATGGTAGATGACACTAGATATTTCTATTTTAAATGGTAGATCACACTAGATATCAGTAAATGGTAGATCACACTAGATATTTTTATAGTAAATGGTAGATCACGATAGATATTTCTGTGGTAAATGGTAGATCACACTAGATATTTTTATAGTAAATGGTAGATCACGATAGATATTTCTGTGGTAAATGGTAGATCACAATAGATATTTGTATTGGATGAATGGTAAATCACACTAGATATTTCTATAGCAAATGGTAGATTACGCTAGATATTTACATAGTGAATAGTAGACCACACTAGATATTTCTATAGTGAATGGTAGATCACACTAGATATTTGTAATGAGTCAATGGTAGATCACGCTAGATATTTGTAATGGGTGAATGGTAGACCACACTAGATATTTCTATAATGAATGGTAGATCACACTAGATGTTTACATAGTGAATAGTAGACCAAACTAGGTATTTCTATAATGAATGGTAGACCACACTAGATATTTCTGTGGTAAATGGTAGATCACACTAGATATTTCTATAATGAATGGTAGATGACACTAGGTATTTCTATAGTGAATGGTAGACTACTCTAGATATTTCTATAATGAATGGTAGACCACACTAGATATTTACACAGTAAATGGTAGTATGTTTTAATCGTGCACTGTGCGCCAAGATGTACCAGAGAAAATTTTATACCGCTAAAAATAGGAAAGACTGAAATACTATCCAGATGCTGACATTAGTGTACTGTGCCAAATAAGGTAGTGGGCCAGCCAACACCCTTCTATAATAAGGTAGTCGGCCAGCCAACACCCTTCTATAATAAGGTAGTGGGCCAGCCAACACTCTCCTATGATTTGGACACATTAACACTGTTAATCCTACTGTCATTGTTTTTCGTTTGTTCTGTTAAACAGTAGAGTAGCTTCTACTATTTAAAATGACGATTCAAAAAGCTATTCCTGTATTATCTGTTCTGTGAAAAGTAGAAATATATCTCCGTTCCGTAATTCATGACTGTTCCTATTTTACATGATTATTGACATGAAAATATTTTATAGTGAAGTTAAAAGTGAAGTAAAACTTTAATATAAACTAGAGTCGCTACTTTCAGTACAGGAGTGTGGAAATAGAAGTTTTCACGATCTTAAGGTCATTAGGAAAATGATGAAGGAAACATTCAGCCGTGATATTGTTTGAAGCTATTATCTGTGTTATAAGTGAGAGAAATAAAACAATGTTTAAGAATACTGCTAAATGTAAACACCGTCAATTTTACACGTGTACAAGTCAGTGTGAAAACTTACTTTGCTAAATGTAAACCCCGTTAATTTTACACGTGTACAGGTCAGTGTGAAAACTTACTTTGCTAAATGTAAACACCGTTAATTTTACACGTTTACAGGTCAGTGTGAAAACTTACTTTGCTAAATGTAAACACCGTTAATTTTACACGTGTACAGGTCAGTGTGAAAACTTACTTTGCTA